ACAGGTATGATGACATAATAATGTTGATGCAATGACTGTAAGGTGCTGTATAGAAGGGAAAAATAATAAAAAAATCTGCTAAAAAAATAAAATAAAAAAGCAAGCAAATACCTAACATTTGTTGTCTGAACTAGACTAAAGCACCAAAGACAAATGCCTTATTTTTTTTTACCCTGTTTCCCTGAATATAAGACCTCTCTGGATAATAAGCCCAATTGGGCTTTTGAGCACATGCGCTAAAATATGCCCTCCATGAAACATTGCAACACAGCAGCAGCCATGAGGTGACCACGCTCGCTGCGTCCTGCATCTCAGAAATAGTAAGACTTCCCCAAAAATAAGGCCAAGTGCTTATTTCAGGGGGTCAAAAGAAAATAAGACCCTGTCTTATTTTCGGGAAAACACGGTATGGTTGGGCAAAAAGATATGGCTTTTAGATATCCTTCCTGAATTTAGTGCTGTGGAGGAAAAGAGAAAGGGGAACAAGGAAGATCTGCCTATCAATATCTAGGCTGATAGCGGGATGATCTCTCTCCAACTACCGTTTTTGCACTGAGCTCCGAGCATGTACTGAATTAATGAAAAACTCAAAGCCATCTTCCTTTTGTGCCAGTCCACATTTTCCTCCCAGAAGCAATTAGGATTGTTCTAATACGCTCCCTTCCTTCATTGATGGCTGGCTAAGATGGTTTCTGCATCACAGATTTCATGACTGTTGGATTCTGGAATTGTAGATAAGCTCTCAATCCTTAAAAGCCACACGCATTAGAAATTTAATGGTCAGACAGAAAAGTAGCAACAGGAAAACATCTCCCGTTCCAAAAATGTGGCTTTTCCTATGTTCAAGGCAATACAAGTATTAACTTATACAAGGCAATCCTTATACAGGCAGCAAACATCAAAACTAGAAACTACTAAGGACCAAATATTTACGATATTGTTTTGGGAATTTATTCCGTCAACAGATGCTTAACATTTTTTTAGTTGGGCCACGGTGGCGCAGTGGTTGGAATGCAGTACTGCAGGCTAATGCTGCTGACTGCCGGCTGCCAGCAGTTCAATTATCACCGGCTCAAGGTTGACTCAGCCTTCTAATCTTCCGAGGTCGGTAAAATGAGAACCCAGATTGTTCAGGGGGGTTGGGGGAGTAGGCCAACTCTGTAAACCACTTAGAGGAGCTTTAAAGCACTATGAAGCAGTATATAAATCTAAGTGCTATTGCCATAATAATAATAATAAAATTTATTTGCTGCCTATTTCGCCATGGGACTACTTTAGGCAGCTTACAATAATAAAAAAAGGAAGTATGAACAAAATGAAAGTAAAATAATTGAATAAAATAAACGAAGAAAAAGAAAACGAAAAAAATACATCCATATGACTAGTTAAAAAGATGGACAAGTGGGGAGCAGAGAGCGAGGGGGGAGGAGGGGGAGTCTGCTGTCACTCTAGCAGCCGCCTCCAGAAATCCATCTTAGGGTGGATTGTAAAGTGGTATAAAAGCCTAGGTGCCATTGCCATCTCCACCATCCGCGGTCAAGCCTTAAGTATTTCGGAATAGAGGGGCAGGAGGGTCAAAGAGTGGTCACTTACATCCAGTCGGCTCTGATGCTGCTTTGTCATTTGGTCTTGAACTTTCAACCTCCTCAAGAGTTCCTTGAAGCCAACCATTGGGACTGGAATCAGCCTGCAAGAAGTGAAGAGCATGGATGCAGCAAAAATTAGATGCAGGGCAACTGTTGCCAGCTTCCAGTTTTATCCCTTCTTCCCAAGATATATGGAGAGCAGTTTAAAAACGAATGCGGTCATTAATAAAACTATTAACTAAAACTAGGCCTCCTCTGGGTGCCGTNATGTTGGATAGCCATTTGTCTGAAACAGTATAAGGTTTCCTGCCTAACCAGGGGGTGGGACTAGAAGACCTCCAAGGTCCCTTCCAACTCTGCTACTGTATTGAATTGTATTCATAAATAACCAGAGGTTTATTGAGTTATGGTTTCAATGATAGTTTCTTACATAAAAAGAGAAACAGGATGACCGCAAATGGCAGCTGCAATCTCAGAATCAAGACTCGTTTTTAAGAGAACCAAGTACATCTAAAAAGTGGCAGTACTTTTTTTAAAAAATCACATAATTGGAGACATAGAAGTGCTATTGCTGTTATTTCTGATCTCCACACTCCAAAAAAGATTAGTATTCTTTGCTCCCATCCTGCAGGATTTATTTCTCTTGACGAGTTCCAGCAAATATGGAAGCTGTTCAGTTCCCACATGAATATTGATATCTCTGATGAAAACATCTGCGATTTGGCCCGCAGCATTGATTTCAACAAGGATGGGAAAATCGACTTCAACGAATTCCTCGAGGCTTTCCGGTTGGTCAAACAAACCACTTCCGGGTGAAAATCGAAGCCGCTGTCAGCTGGGCTGATGGGGCAAAACTTTGGTCGCCTCAAAACAAGGTTTCTAATTCTGCACTCATCTTTTATTCCAAAATCTGCCTCTGAACTAACCCCAAATTGTGAATTATTTACTGCTACCAATGGAGTCATTTTTTACTTTTCAGGAAAAAAAAAATCTGGAAAATTTTTTTCCCTCAGTAACTTTGAAGCATTGAAGCTTTTTAAAAAATAAAATAAAAAATTCAAACGCTTCTGATCAAAGCTACATTGCTTTTAATATCTTTACTCCATTTTAAAGCATAATGCAAATAAAGTTTTATCAATTGTATCCAATGACCGGACATTTTCCGTTTTTTTTTTTTGTTACAGCTTCAACATGGGTCTAATTTAAAAAAAAAAGTTTATGTGATCATTGCAAAGTTTGGCTGATTAAGACATTAGCAAAAGAAAAGCTTACAATTAAGTCTTACACAATCATGTCTAATCCAAACTCAAATCTTTTGTTTCAAGACTGTTTCATTTACGTGTTGATTTGTCAGAGTTCCAGATTTTTCCAAAATCGCTATAGTAGTTATTTTTTCCAAACCACTGTATACAGTCATTAACATAGAATAGTAGAAATGGGTTCTAACCATCCTTGCTCATCTAAATTTCAAAAATACAGAGATTTTCATTCCAGTCCTAAGCATAGGTTCCAATCTTCAATATTCATTAACTTAAGTCTTCTTTCTCTTTAGTCTCCTCTTGGATCTTACATTTTTAACAGGTTACTAAATTAAAGGAGACCCAATTAATCTCTCATCATCCATCCATGTTCTTCCCGTAGAAAAAAAAAATACTGTCTATTGCTGTTGACCAAAATCATTTTGGCAAATGGGTAATGATCAGAAAAATTTTCTACAAACGTGCTTTCAAGCAAATGTGGTCACTTTGGAGAATACCACAATGATGCTGAGTTGATTTTACTCTAAGACCATTGGGGAGGGGGGATAAGATGGGGATACCTTTGCTTGTAGCTGTCCAAGTACAGGGTTCTTGTAATTGCCTTAAAACTGCATCTACTGACCAATCGTCACGTCCTCAGAAGCTACAAATGGAAAACGTCAGAGTAGCTACCATTCACGGGCTTGATTTCACACCTGGGCTATCTTTACCACATGCACACCTATGGATTATTGTATTTTGGAGTGATGCCAAGATGCCTTAGCGCAGCCAGCTCACTTGCAAGCACAGTCCAGTTTGACAATCTGCCTTTATTATCCCTGGTGCAATTAATAACATAATAACAATTGGAAAAACACTTATTAACAAGAGCTGCCTTTCATTGCCAAGAAATCTGAAAGAAGGCTAGCACGCAACTGTGGCTATTTCCTCAGCCCCTGTTTTTGGCTTAAAACAAAAAAAAAAAAAAAACAGCAGCAGCTAGCTTTCTATTATAATAAAAGCAATACCCTTTTGTAAAAGCTTTTCTTATAAGGATTTCATTTTCACCTTAGGAAATACAACACGGAGGGCACAATTCCTCTGCTGTGCCTTAGGAGCGGGATGTTAAAGCTGGGGTCTCCAAATAAGACCGGTGGACTTCAACTCCCAGAAAGGCATGGCAACCCAAAGAATTCTGGGAGTTGAAGTTCCTTAAGTCTTAAAGTTGCTAGGTTTGGAGAGTCCTGGATTAAAGCAACAAGCCCGGCTTGAAATGCAAGTTTCTGTTGTATTACTTGAGAAAGGGTGGTGGTGGTGGTTAGGGATGGCGGTAGCTCTGAATCTCATAGGATATTTAGGCCAACAAATTAGCGATTGGGCAAGATTAAGACTCCTAGATCCAATTTCCATCTGTAGTAATCTTGGAAACAAGTCATCCGTTACAAAGAGCATATGGCTGAATAACAGAAAGAAAGCAGATTTCATTACCTTTGTAAATTCTGATGAAAGGATATAAAATTATAGTTTTGTGCCCGTTAAGCACAAAGGGGTGAGGGTGGGGAAACACCTGTGACCCTGTGTGTTTTTCCCAAACATTGGCAAGTGCGTTTCTCCTTTAAACCAGGTGTTTTGTGTTGTTTCTCATACGGAGAAGGTGTGTTATTTTCCCTACTGATAAGTTAACACTGGGAGTGTTGTTCGGAAAAACAAAAATGAGACATAGCTGAACGCAATAGAAACGCAGGCTTAAATCATGGAGCGGTGTTCAAAATATCCTTCCACCTTAAAATCAACTGCAGGGGTTTTTTCCCCCTAGAAACTTTATCCCTTTTGACCTTCCGGGTAGAGTGCCAAGTCCCTAGCACTCTCTCAAAACCTTCACTAAGATTTATGGTCCACACCTGGTGGATTTCAGTGAAGGAAAACAAGGTGTTTTCTATGCCCATAGAGTCAATGGAAAGGATCAATCGATCAACTGAAGACGCCCCCTCTAACTGGAATGTTCTCATTCAAGCCATGTTCTATCAGCTTTGCGTCTTCAAGGTCATCTTTTATAATACTGATCAGGTGACTCAATCCTTCTTGCTGCTGCTTCAAATGCTGGAGAAAGAAAGGAAGGAAGGAAGGAAGGAAGGAAGGAAGGAAGGAAGGAAAGAAAGAAAGAAATTGATTGAGATTGCTTTCTTTTAGCATTTGTTATTTTTATCCTGCCTTTNCGGAAGGCCTCCGGGAGGGCAGGGGAGGCTGTTTTCGCCCTCCCCAGGCTCCTATAAAGCCTCTGGAGCCTGGGGAGGGCGAAAAAGCATGCACAAAATGGGGGGGGGGAGCGCTTTTCATGCATGCAAGTGCACTGGGGGGGGTTCGCACGTTGCTTTATGGGTGTGGCACACCACCGCATGACCCCCTGCGCTCCCCACCTTATAGCACATGAGCCAAAAATGTTCGCCATCGGTGATGTAGGGTCTCCTGCTTGGGGGGGGGGGGAGTGGTTGAACTAGATGACCTACAAACTCCCTTCCAACTCTGTTAATATGTAACTAGGCAGATTTACAACTGTTAGAGGTATCCTGCAATCAGTTGGCATTTTACAATGATTTTGCCGAAAACTGGGTGACTTTTGGTTTTCGACGAAACTGGGCCCATAGTGAACCACCGATTCACTTTACGACCGCCACACTTCCCTTAGCAACCCTGCTACTTGAAAACCACCGATTTCCCCCAAAACGACCCCCAAAACCAGGATCCATTATGGTCCTAACTCAAGGACTACCGTACCTGTATAACGTTGGTCCAGCACCAAGCCATTCTGACACGATTTATTTTTGGGTCCTCCCAGGCCTCATCAGTGTAAACGACTGGGCAAAGGGCATCGAGTCGGTTCTCCACCTGGGACTGCCGTGGCGGATGCTGAGGCCACACCTGGTATTGCAACTGACCAATGGAAAGGTGGATTATAAGATGTGGCTCAGAGACATCGTGACGGAAGAGAAATCTTCAACCCATGAGGTAATGCACTAGAGTAGAGCCGTGATAGCAAACGTATGGCAAGGCGTGCCACAGGTGGCACATGGACCCATATCAATGGGCACGCAAGCTCCGCCCCGCCGTGCATACCCGCACCAGTCAGCTGGTTTTCGGGCTTTCTGGGCCTACCAGAAGTCAGGAAACAGGCTGTTTTTGGCCTCTGGTAGGACTCCGGGGTGTAGGGGAGGCCGTTTTTGCCCTCCCCGGGCTCCTAGAGAGGGTCTGGAGCAGTGGTGGGTTTCAAAAATTTTTCGAACCTACTCTGTGGGTGTGGCCTCCTTTGTGGGAGTGGCTTGCCGGCCATGTGACCTGGTGGGAGTAGCTTGCTGACCAGGTGTTTTCTCTCTCTCTCTCTCTCTCTTCTCTCTCTCTCTCTCTCTCTCCCTCTCTCCCTCTCCCTCTCTTTCCTTCCTTTTGTCTCTCTGTCCCTTTTTCCTTTTTTCTTTCATCTCTCTCACTTTTTCTTTCTTTTTTTCTTTTTTAAATTTCTTTCTTCCTTCCTTTCTTTCTTTCTTTCTTTCTTTCTTTCTTTCTTTCTTTCTTTC